CTCTCTCTCTCTCTCTCTCTCTCTCTCTCTCTCTCTCTCTCTCTCTCTCTCTCTCTCTCTCTCTCTCTCTCTCTCTCTCTCTCTCTCCCTCCTTACACAATTTTTAGCACTTCAGCTGACACGGGAGAGATGGATTCCGTGCTCGTATTAGCTGTCTCAACATGTTATATTGTTGCGATGGCATTCAAATTAAGAATGTTATTGACGTTCTTGCGTGCACACACATCTCCAGACGCTTCTTCGTCGCATTGCGCGCTGTTCCCTTGTTTACCCTCAAAAACCAAATTGTTGTTATTTTATTTTCTCATGTTACTTGTGTTTGTGTGTGTACGCTGTGGGTACCTCATCCAATTTCATAATTTTATTCAGATCGCTTTTGCTTCTGCTGCCTTTTTTTATTATTGGATTTGATGATGCTGAAGAAAAAGTAACACAATGACAGGGCAACGGTGCATTCTCGAATACGTTGACGCATATTGATTGCGAACGAACCCCCTTTTTCCGTTCTATATTCAGTGCAGTGCCGGCTTTTACCGTTTGATTACGCGAGAGCAGCAAGCGCATTGAGAGTGAGTGAGTGAGAGAGAAATGAGAGTGTACGATGACGGCATGTCATATGTATTTGGATACACAAATCAAAAGCTGAAATCATGTTAAGCACTCGTCGAGCTGCTACGACGACCAATCCACTTGATTTTAAGGCTCTTGTAGGCCTGTTCCACTCGGTATATAATTCAAAAGTCATTGTCATCATCGTCATCATCGTCATCATCATCCCATCCATGGATGGAGCATTTTCGTTCACTTTTTCCCTTAGCAAATGGAAATGATGATGCGACGGCACCTATGACAGCCAACTGCAGAAACTGTGATGATGATTTGTGTTGTGATGAGCTGCTCAATGCTCATCTGTTAATTTTTTGAACGAGCGAGCGAGCGAGTGAACGATATACACACACAAACACGAAAACAATGCACCGGCTGACTCTAATGAAGGCTCTTTTTTTCCTTAGCTATGTGTCGCCTTTGATGAAAATGTGCACGGAATAATGAATCAGCCTCATTATTTGTTAGGAATCACCGAAGTTTTGGTGCTCTATTTCTCTAGCTCGCCTATTGAGAATTAACTCAATTGATTGTTGAATGAAATAGATACCGACAAAGAGAATCCAATGCACATACACACATCCGATGTGATGTTGTGCGAGAGAAGAATGAGAAGCGAGAGAAGAAAAAAAAACAACAAAAACGAACACATACCGAATCCAATTCACACACCGGCTCTTTTTCCTACTTTCCATTGCGAATGGTGCATGGATGCGAAAGTCGCCAGCGTTGGTTTGGATCGTTGCACGTTTCTATGGATGTGTGTTTTTGACCGAACTTACGCGCTCACTCGTTCGCCCGCTCTCTCTCTCTCTCTCAATGTCACATCCAATGATTCTCCTACTTTTTGTTTCTCCACTCATCCAATTCCCTACCATGCATTGTTTGCACAAAGATTCAAATCAGAATCGTTCCAGCCGTTTGGGGTTTCTTCTTCTTCTTTTTTTCATAGCGAGTGTATCGTCTCTCCTTTCGACGCATTTATCAATTGTTTGTGCAGCCGCAACACATATGAGGTGTGATCCCATACTAATTCTAAGCATCATTCCATTATCCAGAAACAACGAAATGCATCCAGCACATATTAGCCTGTCCGTTTGTCGTTCGGCTGATCGGTCGGTCGGTATCCGCAATGCTGATATGTGCAAACAACGTTTCGACTGGTGCTTGCCGTCGTGGTCAGAACAACAACAACAATGAAAAAAGACACCATCGAAAATTGAATTCGGCAACATTCATTTCTCTTCTTCTATCGGCCAAACGGCAACACATACTCAGCAGAAGCAAGCTCTTTCTCTCTGTCTCTTGGACTGATTCACTCAGCTGGTGTATATCGGTTGGTGAGCGTCATTCGTCTACCGTTGCCGTCGTTACCACTGGAATCACTGACTATCTTTCTCTCTCTCTCTCTCTCGTCACATCGTGCGTGTGAGTGTTTGCGTTTCTTCTTGTGGCAAACGGTTCGGTGCTGGCCGCGCTTCCGACCGTTGTGCTCTGTGTGTGAACGCGCAAAAAAAAAAAGTATACACACAACACACGACAATATATACGATACACACTCCAGCGTGAGTGAGCCGCGGAACACAACTGTGTGCAAGAGTAAGCGAACAGCACAAGCAGCAGAAGCAGCAGCAAACGGAATTCTATTCTGATATATAATCTACCCGGTTTTCGTATTGCACATCAATTCAACGAAAGATTTCGATTAAATGTGATGTGCGGTGCCTTGAACCAGTGAGAACTACGCTGTACGTGTTCGAATGAAGACGTCGAGAGCTTAAGAGCAGTGAAGAAAAACTCTACATCCGAATTGTATATCGACGACCTGCTGCTGAACAACAGCAAAACGAATTTCGTTGTTGTTTTTCCACAAACCGACACACCGAAAAGAATAACATTTTAAATTCTGATTTGTTTTTTTTTCGGCACATTTATTTGTGCATCGAAATAAATAAAAGAGGAAAATAAGGCACAAACCCTCCCAGAGGCGATATCGACAAAAAAATAGTGAAATACGATCGGAAAAATCGTTGAGTGTGTTTTTTTGTTGTTTGAAATTTGAAAGTGCATTAAGCACACTTTTTTCGGAAACATTTTATTTGACGAATTTCTTGGAAAACCATTTTTTTTGCAGAGCTAAAACACAAGGAATAAAAATAAAAAGCGGAAAATTAATTCAATTGGAATCCGATTCGCTCAATCAGTTTGCTTTTCGTTTGAAAAAAAAAAATTGGCAAAGGATTGTGTGCGCGATTTGATTGTGCTTTTTTTTAAATCTTGGACATAAAACGGATTTATTTTTCTTCTGAAAAACTCTGCTGAAGTGCTGTTTTCATTCAATTGAATAAAAATAAACCCTCTGCGCAAAACACGAAATAAAAACGAAGAAGAAAAATTTCTTCAACGAACAAAAAAACTGGAAAAAGCTTAGTTTTATTAAGTGAACAATTTTTTTTTTCGGGGAATTAGCACAATCAGTGTTATTTTTTTACGTGTGAACGAAGTGAGTGGTGAGTACCGTAATTTTTTTACGTTTTTTTTTTTTTGAAGAATTTAAATTTATTAATGCAAATTCAGATCAGAAATACATCAAAAGAATTTTTTTATTTTTTCACCTCGTTTTCAACGGTAATTATGTCAATTTTGTCTTCGATAAAGAAAATCATTTGAAAGAATAATAAAAGAAGAAAAAATCTGTAACTCGAATTTGATACTTCCTCTTGAGCATGTTGATAAGTAACTTGTTGTTGTGCATGTGTTATATTCTTCTTTTTTTTTCTCCTTCAATTTTATTACAAACCAGTACCAGATATCAGAATTACCCGGCAATCACGAAGAAATAATAAAATTGCATAATAAAATAATTGAATTAAAGAAATACGAAGAACGATAATATAACATAAAAAAGAAATACCTTTATTAATTCAACACGGAGCTGCTATCTGAGTGCATAGAACGAACGAACAAACGAACGAGTAAGCGAGTGGAACACTCACAAATCGACCATACCATATAATCATCGTTTGAAACTGAAGGAGAAAAGAAAAATGTGTAATCGGATAGCAATTTTTTTTTATCTCTCTCTCTTCTTCATTTCATCAACAAGTCAATTTCTATAAATAGATTATCAACAGAAAAATCATGTATTATGTAAACTGGAAAAGGACGAGAGAGAGAGAGAGAGAGAGAAAGATAGCAAAGAGAAGAAAAAAGAAAATTCGCCAAAGCAAAATAGATGGATAGCACGAACCATGGAAGAGAGCACACAGAAGAGAGGAGAAAAACAGTGCATGAAGGAAATATCATAAGATTAATATTCAACAAAGTACAAGCGAAAATCTAAAAATAAAATCATTCACATCATTAAATGATAAATTTATGTAAAAGGAATAAACGTAGTAGAAGAGTTGAACGATGGAGAGCGAAGAAAAAAACGACGGCGACGGCGACGACGAAGACAAGATATCCATGGGCATCTCGGGCAGAAGATATACATAGTGCGAGAGAAAATAAAGATGGAAACAAACAAGACTTGCATGCATTTTTATCGTTTTTCTTGCTCTGTCTTTTGCTTAGTATGTGTATAAATACACACGATTGATTCGTTTTTCTCTCTCTCTCTCTCCTCACTCACTGTGGTTCATTCTTTTCTGTTCTGTTCGAGAAAAAAAAGAAGAAGAGGTGCACATTGTTGTTAGGCTCTTCTTCGTCGAGCACACGAAATCGAGCCGGCCGACACACAACCGAGAAAAACAGAGACGTTGAAAAGACCAAATGAAGAACGACCGAATACACAGAGAAAAATTGCCGTGTATATTGACTTCGTCACACATTGGCTCCTATCACTCATTTTTCTTTTTCATTTTCTGTATTCGATTCGTTCAGTAAAAGAGCGAGCGAGCGAGTGAGGAAGAGAGAGCACTGCAAAAAGGGTCCCCGAATAGCGCTTCGGTATCTTGGTCTTTTGCTACAGTTTACATGATTACATGCGATTATATGTAAACTACGGTATACATTATAGAAGATAGTGTGTTTAATCTGTTGTGATATGCACGATACACACACCGTAACTTATACTGATTTAGCCGAGACCCGAACGCGCTGAATAAATATGTAGCTCATTTTCCACTGTGGCAATCACCATGCATCTATCGGTTGATTTGTTCTCACCCAGCACGAACCAAGCAGCCAGCCAGCCAACCAACCGACCAACAAACTCGCTGACTGCCACTCGACTGTTGCCATTCTTCTCTTATTTTTCATCTTCTTGCTGCTCGATGTGTTCTGTATCGCTTCGTGTGCGCTTTTTCCCCCTATTCGGTTCGGTTCTGTTGCTGATTTCTCAATTTTCTTTTAGCGAACAAACATTGTGGTCAAAGGCTGAAATTCCTATGCATTTCAAGTATATATATATATGCACAACATTTCACTTAAATATCGTGGGTAAATGAAATGTGACAACTGCAAAATTATGAAAAACTACATTGAAAGCCGATCGAACTTTGGCTCATCGCGTTAGGCTCATAAACAAACGAAAAACAAACAACCGTAAAACAAAGCAGAAAAAAAGAAAAGAAAGAAAAAAATTATCGGCCACATTTTGCCTTCATTCGCAATTCATTTGTCGTCTCACTGACTCAAATCACATTCTCCGCGAAGAATTATGCCAACCACACAAAAGAAAGATAGATATGAACATAAAATAAAATAAAACGACATAAAGAGCATTGTGTTTTTTTCCACTCTCTCACTGCTTCGTTGAGGCAATGTCCGAGCGCAAATAAAAGAAATGCCCGAAAACACACACCGTACAAGACTGTATCTGACTGAATTGATACGCCCGCGATGAAGAATTCTTCAATATACATTTTTTGTTTCGTTCGTTATAACGACGAGCAATGAATACAACATTTCTCCAATCACACGTTATTATTGCTTCTCTATTTGTAAAATAATCATCGGATTGTCGTGTCGACCCGAGCCTCAACCAAACTCAAGAATGATTTTGAAGAATGAAAAAAAAGCAGCAGCAGCAGCAGCAGCAGCAACAACAACAACAGCCATTCAAACAGCATACAGTAATTTCACATTGTGGCGGCTGCATTCCGCATTCGTATTTTCCCGTGATTCTTTCCAATCGTCAATTATTGGTTTTCGCTTTGGTAATGTTGGGCAAATAAGCATATATTGTATATGAACATAAAATCCGAGAGAGTCACATTTGACTCCTAGTGCATGCGATGACCGATTTAAACTTGATTTCATTGTGTGCCATGAATACCGTGTCTTTTCACACTTGGCAACAAGATGACAATATCGTCTTACTTTGGCAATAGCCAACAGCGCAAAAAAAATTGTCCACAGCGTTTGAGCGTGCGCGTGCGCGCGTACGCTCAAAGAATCTTTTCTCTTTCTTCGTCGATGACCGAAAAAAAACCGTATGTGCTGTTGGTTGGTTCTCTCGCATCGGTGAGCTCATTGTCATTTCTATGGTCGTTGAAACTGAATTAATTTTCAACGAAATGAATTGCACAACTCCATTCCATTTTGGCATTTTAATTCCATTCGGCTAGCCAAAAAAATAGCAAGAGAAAGAGAGAAATGGCGAAGGTGAAGATCAACGAAAATAATCATCATTAAAAAAAAATGGAGCCAAATGAAATTAAACGCGAAACTGCAGCAATGAAATTGTAATAATGTGGAAATATTTACATGAAAAAGATGAAATTAACGAGAATTGAGCGCGAGAGCGAGATTGATTGTGGTTAAAAGAACACGAACAAGAGGAGAAAAAAAAAACTACACACACAAGCCATTTGTATATACATTTCCGAGTGAACAAGTGAAAAAAGTCATAATTCTTTTGCTCTCTGGCAGAAGACCATCTTCATGGCATCACCGCTGCCGAATAATGTTGAAACGTAGTGAGCAATAAAAATAGGCGAACAAACGAACACGAAAATGAGCGAAAAAAAAACTCAATCTGAAACTCAAAGATGTAGCCATACACATACCAACCGGTGTATGTGTGTATTGGTGCGAGAGAAGATTCTGAAGAAGAGCCATAGCTATGTTCGAGAAAATCAACTCACTGAGGAAAAAGAAGCAGCGATAGAGGAGAGTGTAGTTGGCCAGAGAGCAGCTCTTGCTCACACACAGTGCCATCGAGAGCCGATCCAAAAACGTATACACACAGAACAATTCATTGACCTATAAGAAGTTATGTATAAAACAGTTATATTATGCCATTTTACGTTTTGTTTGATGGTTATTTTCTCTGCTCTCTAGCGTGTTGTGGTTTGATATTATAATCACTGTGTTTTATATGCGCACATCGACCGTCCACACTCGATGGAATATACATATTCATATGCGATGGGCCCTCGTTGTCGTCTTCTCTCTCTCTCTCCATCTTCCTCTCTTTCGTTCGAACGACGTGCGAACGCGCGCGCACATACGCTACTCTTAGGCCCGGCAAAAAAAATGCCTCTTCTTCGTCGGCTCTCTTGTTTTCTTGTAAACATATTCTTTGGGTACTTCTTCTAAATACGTTTGTCCGATTCCGCGATGTGTACTCACTTCAGAAAACTCTTGAGCGGTGCCCCAACTCTCCGTTGCTGTTGCTTCTTCTCTTCTGCTGCTGCTCTTGCTATTGTTGGTGCTCACTTTTTTTCTCTCCATTTCTCATCTTTTTCCATTATTTCGTTTTAGTTTCTCTGCTTTGCGTTCTATGTTTAATTTCATTTCCACAGTGTGTTCTTTGTGCACTTTTCAACTGTGCGAGAGAGCGTTCTGTGTCAAATTGTTTTATAGGTCTGTGTAGTTGTTGTTTTATTTATTTATTTTTTGCGCGCACGTTGCTCTCTAGTCTTAATGCGCTTGCGAACCGTGAGACGTTTTCGTACTACATGCGAAGCCACCAAAGGGAATTTCAAAGTGACTCCATCGGACGCACAACGTCAATTCTTAAATGATGAGGCACATACAGCGAGAGCCGAGTGCAGTAAATGTGTTTTTTTTTTTGAAATTCATCCCTTCGTTGCATATCTTGTCCTATTCTCTTTGTGCCCATTGTTGCTGCCGCTGCTGCTGTTTTTTTCCTTCTAATATTCTTCCTGTCTTCACTTACAAGTTGGCTGCTCATCAAAGAGAGAAAGAGCGAGAAGAAGTCTTTCTTTGCGCGAGTTCATCACATTTTTCGCTTGGTTTACGAACCGAGCGCGCGCGCGCTCACTCCAGTGTCAAAGAATCAAAGAGCCGTAGATTAGCAATGCCATGGAAACTTAGAGAAAAAAAGAGCATTTAAGGCACAAGAACACACACACACACAATTATTTTAGCACATTCACAATCTATTTCGCAACTTCGTGCAAATTGTATGCTTCTGTGAATGAATGGGATGCAAAGAGTGTGTGCGGGTGATTGAGCGAGAGAGAGAGAAAGGAGGAGTAGGAACACAACAGCCGCAAACATTTCAATGAAAACATTATTTTGCGGAATTTTCAGAAGG